ATGAATTGTTCCACCAAATCTAACGATTTGGGAATCTGGATGCGGCCAGAATTTGGGGTGAAAGCGGAAACACACACACCACCGTTCGTATCAGTCAAGTGAAGGCTCCTTACTCAGCATATGCTGTCCTTTTGTCTCTGTGCTGCCAGCTGCGCGAGTTTTCGATTCGCGACCCTATATAAATTGGATTTGATTAAAAAAGGCAGAACGAGCTGTACAATTTGGTGTAAACAGATCAAATCTCATAAGCGGCATATTTGGTATGACGATATTTATGAAGGATCCGAAGGGAGACTGTCTTCACGTCAACAAACTCTCGTCCAACCACTCTTTCAAGCTGGGCAGGGTGCACTATTTTAGATTCTATTCCCAAAGCACACTAGTTGTGGTGGCTAGTGTTTCGGAAAGATGTCAATATATTCAGGGCGAACCAGAACGCCGTTTTGTACGAGGCCCCTAAAGATGGGGTGGACTGAACTGTACCTTAATCACCTACTCCCTCGCCTCAAACGCAAAGCACTTCAGCTACCATGTTAGACTTGACTCGCTGCATACTGATTGCAGGTACAGGCCTATGTAGCTTGCTAGAGCTCGAGCTGTAGGATTTCGAGTCAGCATTGCTGTGGAATCTGGTCCTCTTTTCTTGCACCAGAAATGGGCTTTTCATGAAGACTGTCGAATAAACATCATTTTGCACAAATAAATCATCGGTTGTTGTAGATGATAGGCTGCTGAAGACGAGGATGCAGATGAGCACGGAGGCCAACTCCTGCACACAGGCATCGTCGCACACGATCTGGAGGGCGGCAAAAGCGCCTGAACCAATTGCGACTCGCACTGTTCCTCGACCTTGTGAGAATCAACGAGAATGAATGAACTATGAAAGAGTTGGGTACAAGTACTAACCCTAATTGGGTTGTACCCCTTACGGGCCACCCCACTATAGCCTACACAATATGCATAAGCTATATATGTTCCGACAGACCTCACTTTCAGCGCACCTCCTGACCGCATGATGCGAACCAGCAGCGCACCGAGTCCGGTCCATGTGATTGTCGCTATTGCACCGCAAAATGCAGCGATCTCCGCCACCCGCGCACGGGTGGAAGCACGGTCGCTGCTGGCCCGACCTGAAGCCCGTGCGCGGCGCAGAGGTTAGCAGAGAAGGCGAATAAAAAGCGTCCGCGTTACCAAAAGTCTTATTCGGAGCGTTCGGGGAAAGCACTGGGCTGGGTGGTGACGGTCGAGACTGTGGAAAGTGTGAGAAATGAAACGAGGAATGATTGCATTGAGCAGCATGAGGAGTACAAGTAGGAAACCCTAAAGTGTTGTACCCCATATTGACTACCCCATTACAGCCGAAATACACTATAACATATATAGTTCGACACACCCCCATAGGCAAAGTGGGGGAGAACAAGGGGTCACAAGACCGTTCAAGAGAAGCACGGCAAGCCCAGGGTGGATCACAAAGTCACCACACAATCTGAGCACAAGCACAAGGCCACAAGGCCAGTTCACAACCAGAGTTATACATCAAGAAGAACAAGCAAGGCAATGATCACAACCTAGCAAGAGTATGCATCCAAATGCAGGTATATATAGATCATAGTACAAGCAAAGTCAAGAGGTGAGCAAGTGAGGCCAAGCAGGCACAAGACCTAGCAAAGTACACAAGCGCTGATGATCACAAGGCGGAAGTGCCTTGGTAAAGATATCAGCAGTGTTGGCCTCAGAGGCCACGTAAGCAAGGCGCAGCTGACCCCGCTGCTGCAGCTCACGAGCAAGGAAGTATTGAAGAGCAATGTGCTTTGTTATGTGCTCCAGTCTGTGCTCTCGACACAAGGCCAGCATGGCCTTGTTGTCTACGTACAGAACTGGAGGAGAGCGAGGCTGCTCTCCAAGGTCAGTAAGTAGGTAGGTGAGCCAGCGTAGCTCCTGTGCAGCCATGGCCCCTGCGTAGATCTCGGCCTCACAGCTGGAGCCGAGAACAGAAGACGAGCGGGTAGACCGCCACGAGACAGAGCCCAAACCAAGGCTGAAGGAGTAACCCTGTGACGACCGCTGTGTAGCCTGGTCGTCAGCCCAAGAAGCGTCTGCGTGACCAGTGAGGACCACTGGACGTCGCCCTCCAAGCACTAGCCCCATGCCCGACGTACTGCACAAGTAGCGCAACACCCTCTTCGCTGCAGCCATGTGCTCTGGTCGGTGTCTCCCAGGAGCAACATAGCGTGCCAAGATGCTAAGAGGGTATGCAAGGTCAGGTCGTGTGCAAGTCATCAGGTACATGAGGTAGCCAACAAGATCTGGGTACGGGCGAGTCGGCTCTACGGACTCATCCGAAGGCAGAGCTGAGAGCGAGTGGCGAGTAGACAGAGGAGTGGCCTGAGGCAAGGAGTACGTGAAGTCGAAGCGCTGAAGGACCTGTTGCACCATGTGTGACTGAGTCCGGGTAATGGTGCGCTGTGCTCTGTCCCGGGTGATCTGCAAGCCAAGGTAGTTGGGCAGTTCACCCAGGGTGCACGTGTGTTTCTACTGCAGCTCGGACTTCACGTGGGCGAGTCCAGTAGTGTCAGCAGTGGCAAAGACCAAGTCGTCGACATACACGAGGATGTAGAACGGCGGCAAAGAGGTGTCGGTGCGCAGAAACAGCGACGGGCCGGCTGTAGAAGTAGCAAACCCAAGAGCCGCAAGTGTAGTCCTCAGTGTGTCGTGCCACTCACGGGGCGCCTGGCGGAGACCGTAGACTGGCCGTCGGAGGCTCCACTGGGTACCAGGGGGAAAAGTCCCAGTGAAGCCTGGTGGGCGGCGCAGCCAGATCTCCTCGTGCAGGCTGCCCTGCAGGAAAGCTGTGCTGAAGTCAAGAGAGTGAAGCTCGTAGTCACGGTGAGCGGCTATGTGCAGCAGCACCTGAAGAGTGGTCATCTTCGGGGTGGGAGAGAAGGTCTGAAAGTAGTCAACTCCCTGCCGCTGACTGAAGCCTCGAGCCACGTAACGCGCCTTGAAGACAGGCGGAGAACCCGGCGGCCGCATCACCCTGAAAATCCACATGCCACTGACGATGTTCGCCCCAGGTGGGGGAACCTCGTCGACGTAGGTGCCTGTGGACTTCCAAGAAGCCATCTCTATGTCCATGGCTGACTGCCACTGAGAGGAGTAGGGACCCTCGATCGCCTCAGTATACGATCGAGGAGTCAGGATGTCTGGTGCTTCCGGGTCTCCCTCAGAGGCAATCAGCGTGGACACGAGATGAGGCAAAGCAGCAGCAAAACACTGGAACTCCTCCTACCTGTCCTCAAGGACGTCCGTGCTAAGAGCACACTCACCCCCGACGGACGGAGGACAGACAGACTCAGACTCAGCAACAAGACTAGCAGCGTAGTCTAGACGACAGCGAGCAGCAAAGTCGACAAGCTGAGCAACCAAGGCAGACGCAGCAGGTGACTCAAAAGAAGGGTCAGTGACAACAGTAGCCAGGAGACGCGTGACAGTAGGACTGACAGCACGAAGAGAGTCAGACTCTGGGTCAGCAAGGACAGGGAGAGAGGACTCTGGAGGAGACGGCAATGGGACACGCAGAGGAGCAGTGGAAGGACGCAGTGCGATCTGGTGTGTGCCGGGGACCGTAGGAGGACGCGGACGCGAAGCACGACCACTAGTGCGAGCAGCATGAACAGGCGACGCAGGACGAGACACAGGCTCACGACGCTCAGCAAGACCTCCAGTAGGACCAGTGTAGGGAGAAGGAGCAGGTAGGGATGAGGCGGGCTGTAACTGTGACCGCGACTGGACAGGCCGTGGACACTATAAGGGAGGAGCAGGACCAGTAGAAGGCGGGAGACCAAGAACCTGCTCAAGGAGCGGAACGAAGTACGGCTTCGGCCGCGCAGCGCCTCGAGAAACAGCAGGGACGGCACCAGTACCCCCAGCGGTAGCACCAGCTCCAGCAGCACCTCCAGCTCCAACAGCGCCAACTCCAGCACCCTCAGATGCACCAGCGCCAGCAGAACCACCAGCGCCAACACCCCCAGCAGCTCCAGATCCAGCAGCTCCAACAGCTCCAGCAGCAGCAGGACCGGCAGCTCCAGTACCGCCGGCAGCTCCAGCAGTACCTCGAGTAGGACCAACTCCAGCAGCTCCAGAAGCACCCCCAGTTCGAGCAGCTCCAGTACCGCCAGTACGAGCACCTCCGGGACCAGCAGCAACAGTAGTACCCCCAGCTCCAGCAGCATGGCTCCAGCGCCGGGCAAACCACTCGCGCAGCTCCCGTAGAGAGAGTGGCTCCCGCCTTGACGAAGCACCGCCGACGGCCACACGAGTAGACCCAGCGCCCCAAGGCCCCACACCCCCAGGCTCTGTACCCCTAGGCTCAGCACCCCCAGGGTCAGCACCTCCAGACTCAACACCCCCAGGCTCAGCACCCCCAGACTCAGCACCCCCAGTCTCAGCACCCCCAGACTCAGCACCTCCAGACCCGGCACCTCCAGACCCGGCACCCGCAGGCTCAGTAGCTCCAACAGCACCAGAGTCAACAGCTACCTCGACAGGCTCGACTGCGTCTACCTGGGACACACCTGACGGGGCAGGACCCTGAGGGGGGAGGGGGTCTACCGGGGGAGGGCCTGGCGCAAGGAAGAGCGGGGGCGGGGGAAGGGGCGCAGTGCGGTAGGAGAAGAGACGGTAGTGAGGTACCGACTCGTCAAAGGTGACGTCCTTGGGGACAGAACACGGCGCGAGGTGGGGTGTTAAAACTGCCAACCAGGCGCGTTAGGGGGGAAGCCAAGGAAGACGCAGGGAACAGCACGGGGGGACAGCTTGTCCGCAGACAAGTCGCGGACAAACGCCCGAGAACCCCAGACCCTAAACGTAGACGCATCGCCAACCTTCCCCGTCCACCGCAAGGTGGGGGAGGTCTCTGGCAAGGAGACCCGGGGCTGAAGGTTGAGCTGATGCGTGGCGTACTGAACCGCAAACGGCCACAGAAAATGGGGGGCAACCGCATGCATCATGGACGTACGAGCGACGTCCATGACCATGCCAATTCGGCGCTCAGCAACCCCATTTTGCTGTGGAGAGGCCGGAAGCGTGAAGGTCTGGCGGATGCCCTGTGCACGACAGAAGGCTCCCAGACGGGCAGAGGAGAACTCCCCGCCTCTGTCAGAGTGCAGACGCAGAACATGAAAGTCCGAGCCGAAACTCTCTCTGAGCTAGAGACGAGCTGCGCGGATCCAGCCGATCAACACCTCAGTAACGTCACCCTTGCTGCGCAAGGGGAAGACTGTGGTGTAACGCGAGTAGTCGTCAACCACCAACAGGAAGTAACGCTCGTGCCCCTGTCCACGGACGCGGGCGGGGCCCCACACGTCCATGTGGAGAGTCTGCAGCGGAGCCTCTGTCGGAGGAAACTCGGAGGAGTGAGGGGCGGCACGCTGGCGCCCCTCGACGCAGGGGACGCAAGTAGGGCCAGGCCCCAGAGGTAGGGGAGGAAGAGACCGGGGGAGACCAGAGACAAGGACACGGGAGGCCATGCCTCGGAGACGAGATAGGGAGGGGTGACCAAGGCGGTGGTGCCAAAGGAGAGTCCGGTGGGACAGGAGATGACACGAGCAGGGAGCAGACTCAGGACCAGACCTGCACGCTGCAGCAAACACCTGACTCGACGCAGCTACCTGACCAGACGCAGCAACAGGAGGAGACTCAGTGGTCAGTGTGTACAGGCTCGACCTCGGCTGACGGGTAAACGTGGCCAAGTTTCGGCCCGTCCGAGCGTCCGTGCAGTGGGTCACCCGCTGACTCGCAGGAGAGAACTGGTCAACCCCCCTATCCTGTAGGTCCGCTCCACTCACCAAGTTCGTAGAGAACGAGGGGAGGTAGAGACCTGACAGGGTGCCAGAGGGGGTTGCCGGGCACGGTAAGACAGTGGAGAAGCTAGCAAGGACAGGACCCCTAGAGGGGTCCGCCAGGGAGACTGCAACCGGCCGACTGAGCGGCGTAAGAGTGGTCCGGTCTCGAAAGAAGGAGCGGGACGAACCCGAGTCAAGGGTGAAGGTGTGTAAGGCCTGAGCCGACATAGTACCAGAGAGAGCAGACTCACCAGCACCAGAGACAGCAGACGCACTAGCACGTGGGGCAGCAGACGCACTAGCGCCTGAGGCAGCAGACGCACTAGCACTTGGGGTAGCAGACGCACTAGCACCTGGTTGCGCAGACGCACTAGCACCTAGAGCAGCAGCCTCACCAGCACCTAGAGCAGTGGCCTTAATGCCCGGGTCAGGCGGTACACACAGGTAACAGTCACCCTCAATACTAGTAGTCATATCATATATGGCAGCAAGGATAGCATCATAGTCAAGATCTAAGATTGCAACCCCCGCCCTAGACAGATCTCCCCAGCGAGGGACTTCTGACGCCTCAGGGAACTTGTGACGCCACGCGTCCGTCAGGCGGCCGAAGCAGCGCTGGGTGGAGTGCGGGCCCCCGCACTGCTCACCAGCTCGGTCGCCGGTACGGAGGACGTAAGTGCAGGGACCAGTGCCCCCACCGCGCTGACGCGCAACGTACCACTCACGAAGCTGCTGAGGGGACAGAGTCTCACGACCGCGCTGGTGCTGCTAGCGCAGACCACCACCTGACCCACTCCTCTGCGTAGAGTCGCGACCTGCTCCACCACCGCCGCCGCCGCCGCATCCGCCGCCTCCTCCACCGCCGCCTCCTCCGCCACCTCCGCCGCCTCCGCTCCCTCCGCCACCACCGCCGCCTCCTCCGCCTCCACTGCTGCCGCCGCCGCCACCACCCCCACCACCACTCCCACCACCACCCCCACCCCCTCCACTGCCTCCACCGCCACCTCCACCGCCCCCGCTAGCCCCTCCTGTTCCCTTGCCCCCCTTGCCCTTGCCGGTGCGGCGTCTCCCGCTAGGGGCAGACGCAGCGCCGACCTCGTAGAAACCAACGAGGTCGGCAGCAGCAGAAGAAGCAATAGAGGGCAAGAGGGGGGAGGGGCAACACCTCTCAAAGACGAGGGTGCGAGGGTCACCACGAGAGGCTCCTACATCGACTATGCTCGTCTCTGCTGCTAGGAGGGCCTTCTCGAGGAGGTCAACGGTGAGAGTGGTGGGGCAAACTGAGAGGAAGTGGTCCCTGACTACGCGGAGAGAATCAGGGAGCCGGGTGACTATGTGGTAGAGGGTGATGTACATGGGGGGGGGGGTTCTTGGCGCAGAACTCAGTAGGAAGCGCAGCGCGGTAGCGAGTGTCACTAGTGCGGAGGTGCGTAATAAGGTCGGCGACTGTGGGAAAGGCAGCAAGGTCAGGGAAGAGGTACGGTAGCATGAGGCGGCTCAGTGCAGCAGTGGCAGGGGAAGAGTAGCGCGCAACTACAGCGTCGTACAAGGTCTGAGCAGTCTTGTACTGGCTAAAGTGTGCACGCTCAGTGGTCGGTAAGTGGCGACGCACAGCAAGACGGGCAGCAGCATCGCGAGTCGCCCACTGTGAGCGAACAGTGCTGTCAGTAGTAGCAGGCGGGGCAGGGGAGGCACCAGAGGTGAGGTCGAACAAAGAGAGGCCGTCTGCCCTATCGCACTGGAGGAACAGCTGGAGGTCATCGACCCAGACCTCAAAGTCAACAGCACGGCCCTCAGTGTCAAAGGTAAGAACACTGGGGGTAGCCATGACTGCAGAGGTCTAGCAAGGAGGGGGCTCACCAGTACGAGTAAGTAGGGCCGGGGCGCGTCGGCAGGACTGGTAGCGGCACAGCGGCTCGGCTGCTGGGCGGCTCGGCTGTCGGGCGGCTCGGCGGCTAGGCGGCTCGGCTGCTGGGCGGCTCGGCGGCTCGGCTGCTATGCGGCTCGGCTGTCGGGCGGCTCGGCGGCTAGGCGGCTCGGCTGCTAGGCGGCTCGGCGGCTCGGCTGCTGGGCGGCTCGGCTGTCGGGCGGCTTGGCAGCTCTGCCGCTGGGCGGCTCGGTAGAGGCGGCGTTGAGGCCGCGTACGAGGCGGTGTCGAGGCCGCGTAGGAGGCGACGTCGGGGCCGCGTAGGAGGCGGCTTCGAGGCCGCGTAGGAGGCAGCTTCGGGGCCGCGTAGGAGGCGGCGTCGAGGCCGCGTAGGAGGCGGCGTCGAGGCCGCGTAGGAGGTGGCGTCGGGGCCGCTTAGGAGCGGCGCTAGGGGCCGCTAAGGGCGGCACGAGGGGCCGCAAGGGCGGCGGCGTGGCCGAGGAGCGGCACAAGGGGCCGACGAGAGGCGCGCAGGGTTGCAGGGGCGGCGCGCGGGGCCGACGAAAGGCGCGCGGGGCCGACGAAAGGCGCGCGGGGCCGTAGGGGAGGCGCGTGGGGCCGACGAGAGGCGCGCGGGGCCGCAAGGGCGGCGCGCGGGGCCGACAGGTGGCGCGAGGGGCCGTAAAGGCGGCGCGCGGAGGCGGCTCAATGGGCCGTGAGAGGGGCCGCTAAGGGCGGCGCGACGGAAAGGAGGGCACTCGGGGCGCGACTCGGGCAGGAGCGAAGCGCGCTCCGGGCAGGTAAAAAAAATATCGAGGTGGGCCCTATAGAGTGTTCCACTAGGGAACCTGCTCTGAAACCATGTGAGAAATGAAACGAGGAATGATTGCATTGAGCAGCATGAGGAGTACAGGAAACCCTAAAGTGTTGTACCCCATATTGACTACCCCACTACAGCCTAAACAGACTATAGCACATATAGTTTGACAGAGAGGCCCGCGGCGCGGAAGCGTGGCGCGACGGCGGAGTCGGAGGAGAGATTGGCGGAACGCGGCGTTGACGAGGACGGTGTCGGCTGGTTCGGAAGGCGGAGCTTCTCGTGTGGAACCTGGCCTTTCGGCAAGGGTGGGCAATGGCTAGGTGAGACGAGCCTAGAACGCTCGTTTGTTGATGGCATCGGCAAAAATGACGGCAATTACTTGGGAGGAGCGAATAGCAGAGAGGAAAAGGGAGGAGGCGCCGTGAACGACGGAGAGGGTGATACAGATTGCGGCGACAGCATCAGCCGCGGCGTCGACCCGCGCGGTGGTGCAACTGGCGACGAAGCGGCTTGAGGCGATTCTTGCTGGCGCAGGGACCTAACTTGCCTCAAATGCCGTTGTTCGGGTGGCGTCTTCATCACCGGAACATGCGGTGGTGTCGTCCGCGACGCCTGGCACGGCGGGGAGGAATGCGGAACGAGCTTGCCTTCGCGAACGAAACGTCCAGCGGCGGGCAGCGGCGGTTTGGAAACCGCGTCACTGCACGCGCCGCGACCATTATTAGAAGGAGAACGCGAAAATTTGGGGCTAGCAGGAGCAGATACCGAGCAATGCCGCCGCGCGTGGTCGCTTTAGTGCGCATGATGCCGATGGTGATGATAATCACCATGACGGTGCTGATTGTTGTAGTAATCTTCCGACAAGTCGTGTTGGAGGAAATGTTCAACGTCGTGAGGTGTTTGCTGCCACTTGTTGGCATGTTGAGGGGTGCCGCTCACAAAGAGTGCGGGCTGGCGGAGCGCAGGCAACGACGGATGACACGTATCGAATTTTCGTTGGGAAGAAGCAGGTTAGATACGTAGGGGTAATGGACGGAGCTCGAACGGCGCGGTGCAGTAGGCAAAGCTTCCGCGCACCGCGTTGGAGAACGGGCAAATGTTGCAATGACGCTTGGCGATGGGAATGGCTCGTTATGAAGGCGGATGCGAGATAAATGGCGTGCAATGGTGGGATGGCTGTGTCGTGCGGAAAGTTTGTTGTGAACGGATCAGCAGCTGAGGACTTGAGCCTTTGAGCTTGAATGTTTGGAAAACCATCTAAGCTACGCACGTAACGACATATGTTTGAATGTTTGAGTGTGTGAGAGTCTAGCTGTAGGAATGATTGCACTATGAAAGAGTTGGGTACAAATATGAAACCCTAGAAGGGGCTGTACCCCATATTGTCTACCCCACTATAGCCTAAACATATATAGCATATATAATTTGACACACCCCCATAGGCAAAGTGGGGGAGAGCAAGGGGTCAAAAGACCAGTCAAGAGAAGCAAAGCAAGCGCAGGGTGGATCACAACGTCACCACACACACCGAGCACAAGCAAAGGGCCACAAGGCCAGTTCACATGCAGAGGTATATACGCAACAACAGCAGTACAGTGATCTCTACCTAGCAGAACAAGCATGCATGTATATATACATAGATCACAGTACAAGCAAAGTCTACAGCAAGTGAGGAAAAGTGGGCACAAGGCCTAACAAAGTGCAGAAACGCTGATGATCACCAGACGGAAGTGCCTTGGTGAATATATCAGCAGTGTTTGCCCGAGTGGCCACGTGAGCAAGACGAAGCTGACCACGCTGCTGCAACTCTCGAGCCAGGAAGTGAAGCAGAGCGATGTGCTTCCTTCTGTGCTCTAGTCTGTGCTCCTGATGTAAGGCAATGGCGGCCTTGTTGTCAACGAACAGCACTAGAGGAGAACCAGGATGCTCTCCCAGGTCGGTCAGCAGGTAGGTAAGCCAGCGTAACTCCTGTGCAGCCATGGCTGTGGCGTAGATCTCAGCCTCACAACTGGAGCTGAGAACTGAAGACGAGCGTGTAGAACGCCAAGAAACTGAACCAGAGCCAAGGCTGAAGGTGTAACCCTGTGATGACCGCTGCGTAGCTTGGTCGTCAACCTAAGAAGCGTCTGAGTGCCCAGTGAGGACAACGTCGCTCCCTCCTCCAAGCATGAGCCCCATGCCCGATGTACTGCACAAGTAGCATAGTACCCTCTTAGCAGCATCCATGTGCACCTTTCGGTACCGACGAGGAGCCACGTAGCGAGCCAGAAGGCCAAGAGGGTACGCAAGGTCAGGACGAGTGCAGGTCATCAGGTACATGAGGCAGCCCACTAGCTCTGGGTAAGGACCACTTGGCTCTACGGACTCGTCCGAAGGTGGAGCTGAGAGCGAGTGACCTATCGCCAGAGGAGTGGCCTGTGCCGAGGACCAGGTGAAGTTGAAGCGCTGAAGGACTTGCTGCACCATGTGTGACTGAGTCAGTGTGATGGTGCGGCGTGCTCTGTCCCGGGTGATTTGCAAGCCAAGGTGGCTGCGCAGCGCACCCATGTCTGTGCACGTGTGTCTCTTCTGTAGCCCCGACTTCACCAGGGCGAGAGCCTCAGTGTCAGCAGTGGCAAAGACCAGGTCGTCGACGTATACGAGGATGTAGAACGGCGGCAGCGAAGTGTCGGTGCGCAGAAACAGCGACGGGTCAGCAGTCGACGGAGCAAACCCAAGAGCCGCAAGTGTCGTCCTCAGTGTGTCGTGCCACTCACGCGGCGCCTAGCGGAGACCGTTGACTGGCCGCCGGAGACTCCACTGGGTACCAGGAGGGAACGACCCAGTGAAGCCAGGTGGGGGGCGCAGCCAGATCTCCACGTGCAGGCTGCCCTATAAGAAGGCTGTGCTGAAGTCAAGAGAGTGAAGCTCGTAGTCACGCTGAGCGGCAACGTGCAGCAGCACCCGAAGAGTGGTCATCTTCGGGGTGGGGGAGAAGGTCTGGAAGAAGTCGACTCCCTCCCGCTGACTGAAGCGTCGAGCAACGTAACGAGCCTTGAAGACAGGCGGAGAGCCTGGCGGCCGCTTCACCCTGAAAATCCACATGCCACTGACGATGTTCGCATCAGGTGGGGGAATCTCGTCGATGTAGGTGCCTGTGGACTTCCAGGATGCCATCTCTGCGTCCATGGCTGTCTGCCACTGAGAGGAGTACTCACCCGCGATTGCCTCAGCGTAAGAGCACGGGGTCGGTATGTCTGGAGCATTCAGGTCTCTCTCAGGGGCAAGCAGCATGGACACGAGATGAGACGCAGCGGCTGCAAGACACTCAAGGTCCTCCTGCCTGTCCTCAAGGACGTCCGTGCTAAGAGCACACTCACCCCCGACGGATGGAGGACAGACAGACTCAGACTCAGCAACCAGACTAGCGGCGTAGTCTAGACGACAGGCATCAGCAAAGTCAACAAGCTCAGCGACTAAGGCAGACGCAGCAGCAAACTCAAACGACGGGTCAGTGACAACTGTGGCTAGCAGACACGTGACAGTAGGGTGAGCAGCACGGGTGCGGTC